TTTTCATTTAGTTTAGTTTTTTTTTTTTAATTCTCCTGTATCAAATTCTACACATGTCAGATTTTGAATTCAAGAAATCTAAAATTATGTTATAAAATAAAAATATTTTTGTGCTACCATAGCCATGGTTACATTATTTAGATGTCCTCTGACAGATAAAAAAAATAGTAGAAAATATTCTTTAACAACGCTGGCTGGAGTCATTGATGTTATGTTACTATGTTAAACAAATAATTCTTCATCATAAGTTTGTTTTTCTTTGGAAAGCAGTAACATACAGTGTATTTGATACATGGGCCCCAGACTGATGTTGTGGTAAAAGGTGGTGTCGTTTGCATACAGTGGCATTTGGCCATCACACTATTTACACTTGTCGATGTTTGGCTTCAGTGTTTTGAATGTCGTCCAGTTGTAATCTGTCAGTTTGAAGTCGGCTATTTTAGGGGTTTTGGTTGTTTTTGGACAAATGTTGGGATGTGTTGTGAAATACCATCTTTCTTGTTTTTTGTGATTTTTTTTTCTTTTAATATCAGTTACAATGTGTGTTACTTAGATGTCTATCTGGTATTTAAAATATCATTTAAAACACCTGTCATGTACACCACTTTTATACACCTGCGTTATCGACTATTTCCATAAATGGGATATGTTTTTTTTGTTTGTTTTTTAATCAAATCGAATTTTTCCAGTAGAGCTGACAAGAGTAAATGACTCAGCCACAGATGACAAACAGTTTCTGTTTGGAAATTCTTTTTATTGGTTCATCTTTAGCCAGGAGGGCAGCAGCAGCAGCCACAACACACTGAGAGAAACAAATGAACAAAACCCAAAACAGACTTCATTCCTTCTTAGTTTTGCAAAATAAATACTCACTCATCAACTTTGTTTTCATCATCATCATCATCATCATCCTTCACCGTCACTGCTGTAATATCCCTTTAAATAAATATCCATGAAGCGGTTGTCAGCAATGAAACCAAACCGAGTGTGAATGCATACGGTTCCATATATAATATACTCATTTTAGATATTTTTTTTTCTTCCATATATATTTGTTCCATATACTCTCATTAAATTCTTTTACATCGTACAAGACGCCAATGTGTACCAAAAGCAGTGCTTTGCTAAGACACAGTAGGAGACGTGGTGTTGGTGAAACGGCGTTAGCATCAGACAGTGACCTGACATGACGGAAAAAAAACGCAGGTGTAGTGTCGGTAAAACAGGCGGCTCTATGTATACAGACAGATACCTGGAACTTAGTGACTCCTGTAACTATATGATAATGTCAAAGAGAAGTGTCGACCAGACTGTAGGATTTAGTGACATCTAGAGGTGAACTCTATACTGTATATTATGACCATTTAATTTGTGTAGTTTATATGGCTGATGAAACAACGACTGCAGTAATTACTCATGAATAAAATGATGTTAATAAAATAAAATAAATTTGTTTTATCTAAAAACAAGTAATTAACAAATTAATTGTCTTTTAAAGCAAAAAATAATATTTTTCTAATTGCCTTTTCTATGATAACAAAATATGTGAGAGTGAGAGCAAATATTATAAAATTGTACAAATTGTCCTTCATACATTGAGTCCACAGACTGGACATTAAAATAAATGTTTTTTTGTAACCATTGCGTCTCCACTATCCAGCCAACAAACTGTTGTTTTCAACCAAACCTGCAGAAAAGTCAAATGTTTTAGGCAAAACCATTTGCTTGTGCTTTTAAAAAAAAATCATGTTAATAAAAAATACCATAGAAGCAGATTAGGAAAGTGGCTTAAAACAATATAAATGAGGGATAACACTGAAAACGTTTTTTTTTTTTTTTTCCGTTTGTAGGATTATTTGTTGCTCGGTATCCCACAATGCATTGTTTAATTCGCCTTTTTGTGTCTATCGTTAAAGTTACCTAAATTGAACCAGGTTTAAAAATGTGCAATAGGTTCCCCTGATTTATATTTAGTTAACGATAGACCTCGCGTCATCACCACAAGCACCAAAACACGACCAAAGTCGTCCAATCACCTTAGAGGAGACAAAGGCAGAAGCTGCGTGTGAAGGTGACGCCCAGCCCATGGCAATGATGTTAAACCTGAAAACAGTTTTCTGTCCACGCTACTGTTTACGAACACACACACACACACACACAAAATAATCTAAATGAACAGTGAAATTGTTCTTCCAATAAAGTCACAGCGTATGAAGACGATTAGTTGTTTTACACATGGTGTTTAGCTGTCGTTTCGCGTTGTACTTCATTCAAAGCATTCAAAGCATGCATGCGAGATAGAATTAAGCGTTGTACTTCATTCAAAGCATGCATGCGAGATAGAATGTGTCAGCGATTCCTTATTAGTGACAGGCATATGTAGTGGAGTTTCCTATAAAGCTTAGATTTTCCAGATTGTGAAGCTTTACGAAAAAAAAAAAGAAGTGACTTTTTTCTGTCCAGTGTTTGAAAATGTAAGAGTGGACAACAGTTTTCATATTTATCAGCATTAAAATGGGTAGGAGATTTGCATCAGCAAATATTTTAGATTGCCAATAATAATAATAATAACAATAGTAATGATTCATCATTTGCCCCCTGCAGTTGCTAATCAGTTGTGTACCAGCGATGTCCACAGGAACGTTTGGGCCAATTTTCACACAATGCCAATACACTGAAGACACCGGTCACCACACGACACGGTCGTCTGTTCGGCCGGTGTAACCTGTGATTGTCTTTTGTCGGCCTTGCTGTACTGAGGCACAGTTAAACAAAACACGGTGAATGTCTCAGGAGTTAGTACCATGAACTAGTGACAGCACGGTTGGCCAATCCCACAACGGGCTGACTAAAATTCTCAGAAGAATTTTCCATATAAAGATTTATTTAAAAGGACAATAAAAGACAAATAAAAAAATATTTAAATTGTCCTGTCTGTTTATCTGATGCCCCCTGATTGTATCGCTTGGTCGTTTTTGAATTTTTATTTTGATGAGTTTGTAACTGCCTTTTAAATGTCGGTACATGCTGGAAATGTGTAAAGAAAAATGATCTTATTCTGACTGAGAGTCTCATCCCAGCTGAACTTTTTCCTTTAAGTTCAAATGTGTGGCCTTTTGTCATAGCATACCAGATGTGGACCACCAAGACCCTGAGTCCAGTTGTGTACTCCTACATAACATGATCACCATACAATGCTGCATCGTTCCGTCCTAATGTTCTGATAATTTGCCCCAGATGTTCCTGAACTGGTGACAGGTGGTCAGTATTAACTAAGTTTAGATTAAAAAGAAAAATGGAAAAAAGAAAGAACAGCCTGGTGGTATTAATCTCATAGAAACAAAACAGAGCAGAATACAAAGAGATGTACAGTTATCAGCACATATTTACATATAAAAATATAGCAAATGAACTTTTAACAAATCAGGCCAGTGTGTGTTTTCTTTCACATACACACAGGGAGAAGCCCACATGCATTCAAACACATATGCACATACAGGCAAACACAGACACACATGCACGAGCCCGACTGTGTGCTTGTTTAGTCAGCTCCGAACCCTGCCTTCCAAAGTAAAGCCATGCAAGAACATCTGGAAGTGACTTCTGCACCAGTCATAGTTGTTGATGGACTCATCTGCCCCCAGTACCACAATCAACGCCCAGCTCTTAACCCCCTTTACCCAGACTCCTCACCCCAGTCCCCATCAGCTGTCCATCTGCCCACCACCACAGTTCCACTCACCCCGTCCTCCCTCCCACACTCCATTTTTCTGCGGCCCATTAAGAGCTATCATGCAGCTAATTGCCTGTTTGATCAACTCTCCGCGGACCAAGAACTGAAGGCTTTTAGCCCGCTGAGTGTAACAGGAGAGACAGACGAGGCGGGAGGCGGCGTACCGTATGGGTGTGTGTGTGTGTGTGTGTGTGATACACTTAAAGTCAAGCAGCTTAACTTCTAGATCCTAAAATCCTAAAACTCTCTGGACAGTTTCACCTTTGTGCTTGATTTCCCAGTCCCAGAGTGTGTTTCATAAACAAACTACCTGGGGAGGGTGATCAACCTCTGGCTCCCTTCTAATCAGACGTTTGTATAGTTTTAAGATAAACTCTTGAATCTTGGATCTGTGGTGGTCGGATTCACTGGTCCCAGATCACCATCAAATCCAAAGAAAACAACAGGAAGTGAAGTTCTGGGAAAAAGAAAATCTCATTTTTGAGACACTTGAGTTCCTCTAAACCAGTTTCTGGTGTTTTGAAATCGTTCCCTGGAGTGTGTACCTCAAGGGAGCAGTAAATTTTGATCACGTCAACCCTTGACTCAGACCAAGTTCAGACCAAATACACCGTCCTCTGGTCCACCTCTGAGAGATTGTCTCAGACTACTTTTAAATTAACCCACAACAGGTCGGTTTAATCTGTAGCTGACATTTGATTATTATGCAGATGCACAGAAACTGTCGTCAATCTGGTTAGAAAACACAGATGATGAAATAATATCTTAAAGTCTAAGAACCAGATCCGGACCTGCAGACTGTTTGACTTGAGGATCAGGAGGAGAACGGGCTAAACTGCTCAAGGGTGAGAAGGATGGAGGGCAGTGAAGGAGGTCATTGAGAGGAGAGGCGGCTGGCGACAGACTGACTTCAGGAGGAAACCCAACCAGACCCAACCCCCACAGACCTCCACCAACCCAGGGCTGCTAAAAATAAGACAAAGGAGGCTTCTTCTGCTGACAAAACAACAAACACACAGACACTCACACACACACACACACACACACAGACAAACACATAGACTCACACTCACTCACTCACTCACGCTGCCTCTACACAATGGATGCACCCTCCCTCCGCTTTAATAGTTCCCCATTCAGCTCTCGACCGCTGAGGAAAGCATATCATCACATCCACCTCACAGTGCTTTTCCTTTACAAATGAGCTTAATAGCATTTAAGTTTCTTTTTGTTTGTTTTTTGTTTGTTTTTTTACAGTGCATGGTCCCTTTTTTTGGTGTTAACCTGTTGTTTACAAGTGTCTTTCTTCTGACTTTTATATCTTGGCATATCTGCAGTCAGACGTCTACTCCAAAGAAAAGTGGTTTCATCCAATGACCTCATTAATCTTCAGCCACTTTTGTTGAGTCACTGCGATGGCCGTCTTTAACGCTTCATCTGATTCATCCTTTCAAGAAGAAAGATAATTTTGTTGGCATTAGACCAGACACAGTGAGTCACTTAATGTGCCTTTTTGATTTGGTCCATCACCTGTCTCAGTGTTTTACAAAGGCCAGGGGCGAAACTGAAAATGAAATCGATCTGAAGACTCACAGAATGCACAGAGACAGTGTTGATCTAGGTCCACAGGTCATGGTTAAGGTTGTAGGGTAGTCCAGCAGAGCAGGATTTCTTTTGTTTGTTTGTTTCTTATGCATTTCGGCTTCAAATGAACAGGCACAGTAAAGCTTTGGTCCCTCCTGAGCTGGAGAAGAAGTACATTTGCTGAGCAACACTTAATTATAGTTTGGTTTGTCGGTGTGTTGTTATGTTAGGTACTCTGTCAGCAGTAGCACTCTTGCGATGGCCTAAACGTAGTGGATTTATCTGACACCCCAGATCCAAGTCTGTCATAATGGCTTCTCCAAGGATTTGCCGCGGAAAGAAGGGTGATTACAGTTAGGGTTGGAGGCGGAAATCTTGCGGCACACGGTGTTGGTGTTGCTGCACCTGCAGCCGGGACGTGTGGCCCGGTCATGGGCGCACTGGCACAGGGCAAGGCACAGCCGGGCAGGTGGGTAGCAGCAGAGACAGGGCAGGCAGACTGCCAGCAACCCCATAGTGCCCCAGCGGGCACAAGCGTGAGCCGAGGTGCAGGAGCACGGTCTGTCGGCGCAGTTGTCCTCGTCGTCCTGGGCGGAGCAGTGGTAGAACAAGCCTTTGACACAACATAAGCAGGTGCTGTACTCAATTGCGCTCTCCGCAGAGCAAAGGCAGCGCTGCCCGCAGGCCCAACAGGAAGGCAGGCGGCGGGGGGCACAACACTCCTGGCACTTGCAACGAGCGCATCGCTCACAGATGAACATGTGGGGGCCGAGCCCAGCCTCATCTGCTGTCAGGCCTTTACCAAAGGAGTTGTCTGACTTCAGTTCTCCTTTAGGTTGAGAACGCACCACTGAACTGATCCCAGAGTGAGATGGCGTCAAACCTGCCAGCAGTCGCTGGTCTGACGTGGCACTGGTCCGAGAAATGGAAGAGCTTATGGTACTGGAGCGGCTCAGGTGGGAAAGGTGAGAGTGCTGCTGCTGACTTTGGCTTCGGGGTATGGCGGGATGGAAGGAGGTCTGGGGATGATGGGTATATACTCCGTGTGGGTAGCGGTCTTCGTGGGCGTAGAAAAATCCAGACTGTGATGCCGGTTCCAGCGCCACAGGCCTTTCCACATAGTCATTGTTGGCCCGGATGGCACGTATCTGGTCAAGCGACAGCACTGGCACCTGCTGGAGGTCCAGCCCGTCCAGCTCCATCCTAAAGGAATGAGTGGAGTCCATGCTGGTGAGCCAGGCTGGGTGTCACCAGGACTGCAGGCCACAGCTGGGGGGTGGGCTCCCAACCCTCACGGCACATCGGACAGTCCTGGAATTGAACAGAAACAAGAATGAGATGCTTTTAGTGAACAGTCTTTACAAATTGGGAGAGTCGTTGTGTAAAGAGTTAGACGTGCCGACCTAAGGTGTCTGTCTGGAAAAGCTCAGTCTTTAGAGCACAAAAACTGCAGTATAAAAAGGAAACAAGTTTTGAAAAAACTCTATGGTTCCAGAGCTTTAACACGGTCCTTGAACATGTCATCATGACGGCCAGGGTTTCTGGGACTCAAAACAAACTGTATTATTAGCCTGCCGGGGGCAGACGCATGTAACCATTGGACCCGCACTGTAATTTAGCATCTGTGGAGCACAGCTGCTACGGCTAATGCTAATGTTGCTGATGCCACACAAGGAAGCCCACCTGCACACACAGACTGGAACTCTGTTTATATTGTAATAATATAGAGATGTTGGTCTTCTAAATCAACAGACAGAGAGTAGATACATGAATGAGCTATCTGGAACAAATATATATTTTTTTTTTTAGGGACCACTGCTGGTCCACTTCCTTTTGATCAAATCAAATCTTGACTCATTCATGGCTCAGTAATAGGTTCCATAGTCGTACACGCAGGTTCTAAATGAACCGAGCTTTAGATTTTTCCATTTTCAATCTGTCCAAATGCCTCAGGTTTCTGACTTTTTTCTGGTCCGATCTAAGAACTTCAGTTTAGACACTGGCTTTTCCTGTTCTAGGTATTAAACCTAGATGTCAAGATTAGAAAGAACAGCAGGTCAAAGTACACACAGAACAATCCTTTGTCAGTTTGAATCATTCTCTTGTGTTGAATGTTGAATGGAAACAGAAATCTGGAGGGAATACAGCAGTAATGGCAAATAACACACACTCAGACACACACACACTGTACATGGACAGAGACAGTGCTGTCTTGCCAAGTGTCCAGTGGGGAGAGATGATCTGTCTTCTTCTCACAAAGAGTCACGAGGCCAAGTGGAAATGCATTTAAAGCAGCTCAGACTGTGAGATTAGATAAAGGAGGAAGAGGAGGAAAGGGAGATAGAAGCAGCTAATTTAATCTAGATTATAATATGGATTCTGAATATTCTACATGTCGAAGCTAAGATAGAAGAAATAACTGTCTGATGAGAAATAACTTATATTATTATATAGCATCCCATGTGTTTAAAGAGCTTAGTTAAAAAAAGTATAAAACACAATTTACCCTAAATTTAAAAATGTCAATATTAGCTCATAACATCCTCACATATTCATGATCCAAATAAAAACAATAACAACAACCATGGCTATAGAAATGCCTTATAAATCAACTTATAAAATGACTTTTAAAGAACAGCCAAAATGTTTATATTCAGCCCTTTTTTTAACATTTGTTTTTGCAAATAATTAGCCGAAAGCTAAAGCTTAAGGTTTGTCCAACATGCTGTAGTTACAGAGTAGCCAAAAGAATAGGATGATTTTTCTTCAACATAAAAAAAAAATGTTTGTACCTGTAGCCACTTTCTTGTTGTTGTTTTTTGTGGGAATAGTTACTAAACATCTGTGATCTTAGCCCGTAGTTGTTGCAGAAAAATGTGTTGAAATCAGTTGATGCTGAAACTTTTGTTGAACATAAACAGCCAGAACATACTTGTGTACAAACTTTGTGGGATGACTTGCAGTATCAGAGCGCGACATCAGTGGATTTGGCCAAACAGTAAATGAAAATGAGGTCATGGAAATGGACGGCAGGCCTATCTTCTTTTTAACAATTAGATGTCCTGATAGTCGGGCAGAGGCTGAGCGAGCTGCAGCCACTGCTCTTCCCTGATCAGATTAGTCACCAGGACTTCTCCTCTCTCCTCCGACTAATTTGTAAATGCATCCTGGTCATCTGACCATCCTGGACCTCCTTATCTGCTGCTGCTGCTGCTGCTGCTGCTGCTCTGGCCTGGTAGCAGAGTAAGGACTGTACAACACCTATGAGCTTTTACTCTGCAGTACTTGTAGTTTGTGAGCCATTTAGCTGACACTGGTATATACGAGTACATATATTCACTACATCCAATACATTTCTTAATCTTTAAAATGTACAAGTGGGCAGTTGCAAAAATGCAAATTCTTTTTTACGTGATTTCTGGATTGCCTGTAGGTGGCACTATGACTATCACTATGCACTTGTACTGAGCATGTGCAGTTTGCTTAGCTTCAACACTACCTAAGAGGTGCAGCCAGAGGAGGAGGCATCATGACTTCAGCCAAATAATATCCTGTGTTTTGGTTCAATTAGAGGATAAAGAGTGAGTGATGGCATTAATGGGTGGACCCAGAGTGTGATTGACACTTGGATTATCCAATAGGAGCTTGGTTGTAAGGTAGTATAAATAAATAAAATAGTATAGTTGCAAAACCATCATTGTTGGTCTTATAGTGGATTGTTTTTGTTGCATGAAGTGAAATTGTTTATATATATATATATCAACCATCATAGCTAATCAGTCTAGCATTGTTGGTCTTATAGTTGATTGTTTTTGTTGCATAAAGTGAAATTGTTTATATATATATATATATATGTATGTATATGTATATTGCGTGAAAGGAATGGCATAAAATGTATCAATTAAAAAAAATAGTAAAACCAAAACATAGTGAGAGAGTTGTTTGAAGAGAGCATCAGTGGTAACCTGAGGACGGAGCTCTGTGCTGCTGCTGCAGCTGAGGGAGTATCAGTGATGACTGAGCTGCTGCCTCTAACACACACACACACACACACACACACACGCACACAACATCTTTCTCTCCATCGCCTGCTCCAGGACTCGTCCACAGAAACACACCCAGTTGACATCAGCAGCACCAGCCTCTGTCTCATCTGTCCACTTCAGGAAGAAATGTCTTTCATTCTCAGATCCCTGAACCTTTGCTTCTGTGTTTGTGTCAAGGTATTAGCATCACAGATGAGACAGAAATTCAGTTTTCTCGATAGAT